CGACGAAGTCCCATTCATCATCTTCAGGCTGGTGTTTTCAGCTTCGTGCTTCGAGGAGCAATTGTATGTATATATGTATGTGTGTGTGTATTGACTAATGCAACTTGATTCAAATCATCTATATTTGGATTTTAACATGAAATTTATTACAATGTAAATACATGCTAATATGGGCCTAGGTTTGCTTTATATATGGGACATAGCTGTTCAGCTTGTCTACTGGGGGGGGGGGGTGACGGAGACCTGTTTCATAGGCAGATGTAAAGACATAATTACAGGCAGAATATGCAGTGCATCACTTTCAAAGGTTAAAGGAATCATTATGGCCAACTAACATAATTATCTGCCAAGGAAGGCAGAATCAGAAATGGAGCAAAATACCTTAAATGTCACTAGTTTCTTTAAAACGATTCATATATATCGCATATCAACATATGTTGACATCATTTATTTCTTCAACTGATTTTAACATATTGGTCTAGCACTGAATACCCAGCCTAGAAATATCTGATTTATCATTATTATTTTTTATTTTCAATCAGGAAGCTACTGTCAGGAAACCATAGTTATAATTTATTTCAATAACAGACCTGAAAAAACAGTTACTGTTTCTCTTTCAAGACCTGGAATTGGTGTTATAGATTTAAATAAGCAATTATGGTAATATGGTGTTGAAGCTCATATATCTATTTCCTTTTGCTCCCTGTTAAGAACAATTTTAACTACTCTCATGATTTCTTTAAAACCATTTCATTATATCTGCTTTGTTCTCTGTTTCATTGTGCTAACATTGTTGAGCATTTGCTAAAGATTAATTCATATACTATAGTTGTATAATTTTTTAAGTATACACCAACAAATATAACACATCAAAATGTTATATAATTCAGTTTTACTAGGATTGGTTGTAATTCTTTGCTGAATAGAAATCAACCCCAGATTTCACTCTGCACATCCCATGGAGCAGCTCTATTGCCTTATATCTAAACTGTCACACATCACAGAACAATTAAGAACCTGTACACTGAATTGCCAGGCTGTTTCCTATCCCCTCCCTGGTTAGATTGACAGTTTTAGCAAGGTGGCTACAGCACATGTCTTCAGCCATGTGATGGTTAGAGAGCTCTCGACAAAGGTTCCAGAAGCCATGTTTCCTCTGACTTCCATGAAGTGCTTTCTTCATCATTACCTGTCCTGCAGTTAGTTTCTAAAGACCGAGATATAAACTTAAACTGAAGCAGCAAGTCATTTTGTAAAAAGGAAACTCCTGCAAGCCACAGCTTCTTTGTGCTTCATGTGAAATGAGAACATGGCAGATAAACCTAAGCAAATACATTTGTTGTTTCACCCTCAGTTCTGCCATACCTGCAAAAGCAAACTGAAAACATTTCTTTAAGTTTGTGGACTATCACTTCTCCAAAACACTGATTCCTTGCCATCTAGAGTCTACTTGAACTCTTTGAAGTATTACTGCATGGCTCATTTAAGATGGGTCTTTTTCCTTTGAATCTTTGATATTTTTTTCTTGTACCCAAAAGGAAATTTTGGTCCCAAGGAACAGAGAGCATAGGCTTTATAATCAATCCATTTAAAAACAATAGTTACCTAGTTACATGATTGGGGAAAGCCTTTGCTTCAGACTTCGGCAAAGCCATTCTCAGTCTGCTGAGAGAACAAAATAACCCAAATATCACAAGGCTCAATTTTTAGTTGCAGCTTCCTGAGAATCTATATTAATGATCCCTGACCCAGAACCCATGTACGACTTCACCCAGCATCATCTGTTTTCTTGTAAATGTTCCTGAAACACTACATTTGAAGCTATAAATCAGTGCTTGGTAACATCCTTCTCATTGGAACTTTATGCTATTGTAAAAATGCACTTCTTTGCAACTGGGCTTGGAAAGCTACTGAGGTGCAGGAAGAGGAGTAGACTAATGTTGAGCAACCAAATTCAGTCTCTCTCTGCTCATATCATCATCATCATCATTATCATCATCATCATCATCATCATCACCATCATCTTCCCTGGTCCTTGGGAAGCAAGGTGGATAAAAATGCCAAATCCAGTCTAAACATCTGGCTGACTGTGAGGGGAACCATAATAAATAATATGCTGTGTAATATTACAATGTTATAAAGTCACTCTTGGGATGGTTTCAAACAAAATATTACTAATGCTACCCATCAAAATATGTTATTCTGTTTCTTTGTATTTTCCCTTTAGTTATTTTGTGTGTGTGTGTGTGTGTGATGAGAACAAAAGATGGAAGAAGCAGTAAAAAATATCATAGGAGGTTCTAGATAGAAGATATCACTGTCTGGAGCACCCACCCAAGAAAAATAGGCACTGCCTGACAAAAAGCATCATACTTTATTAGTCTTGGCTTCAGTTCCCCCATTTATAAAATAGGAACAGTGATGAGTCCTAGCAAAGGATTCCTAGGTGATTAAAGATTGCAAAATGTTTGTGCATCAGATGTGTCATACACTTAATTAATGTCATCAATAATGACTTCTAGAAGATTCTAACAAATTTTAGTTATTTATTTTAGTTCAGAAGTATGCACATGTCACAGATGTGAAGAATGAGGTTTGTTCTGCTACCTTAATAACATTCTGCAAGTTCAGGAAATCAGAATTAGTGCTCTCATACCAGTTTGAATTTTTGCTGACTTTTCAGCTGAACCCAAAATATACTACTCTTCAGATAAGAATTCAATAAATGCATCTAGTCAAGTGCTGGAAATAGTCCAAGAATAGTCCAAATTGAACTTACTCAATTCTTCTACCACTGAAATTATCATCTGAGCTTTAAAACCTTTTGAACAGATATACACATTTTATATAATACAAAGAACTACTTTAAAAAACAAACAGGAATTACATCAGAGGCTTCATCTACTTCCCAATGGATACTCACAGCAGTCTTCAAGAACTTTACTTTTTTTACAGCATACAATCACTTTTAATTGGTTTATATCAAATATTATATTTTCTTATACCCAATTTTATTTGTGTTCTTCTGTACATCCACACTACCAGAGTTTATCCTTCCCTATATTGAATTTGACCCAAAACTATCTTCACTCGTGCCAAATGCAAAAAAAAAACAACCATACCATGATCTAATCTGTATCCAGCCTCTTTCCTTTTCTGATCAATAAAGTGTAAACGCCCTCTTCCAATCTGTCTCTCACTCTGTATTAGCAATTGTGATAGACAAAAGCCATTTCATCCCTATTCTCAGAAAAATGGAATAACATAACTGTTAATGCCCCCTCCTCTTATTTATATTTTTTCCGTGCATTTACTGGTAAGTATCTTTCCAGTTGTCTGCAAAAAATCTAACAGACTATTTGGATGGCATGAGGGAAGATCAATTGTAAATAAATATGAACAGAAGCATTGAAATATTCCAAAGTCTTCCCTATTACTTTGTCAGCAATCCTCTATTATACTCAGCATCCCTGTGAATTGTGAAAGTAAAATGCAACCAGTCATTTTCCCCATTAGTCTTGACCACAGATGTATCTTGCTATGGTAGAGAAGATAAGTTTTAAACATTTTGTACAGGAAGAGAAGCTCTGGGAACTGGACACTGGACCTCTAATTGTAAAATTTCCCTTAAGATTGGTATTTCTAGCAAATTGGAAACAATTATACAAAAATGGGCAAAGAAATATTGTGAGACTGTCAAATTTGAAAGTGATCCCAAGATGATGCAAAACAGCACTGTGGAACTGTCCATAGTTATGCTGTATAATCCTTGTCAAAATCACCTAGAACATGTTATGCTTGTCTATTTAAAATGTTACTTCTTCTGTATGAGATTCTAGTGCTTTCTCTATCCCACATACTATATGGATAGAAACAACTGAGGGATGTGAAGATCTATGCTGATCTCCCAGTTCATTTGTTACTCTCTACCCAAAGCGAGGTTAATAAACAAATGGACATATAAGCTCAAGTATTTTTAATAAGGTTACCCTATGTAGAATCTCTGGGGCAAATGGATCTGAAAGAAGCTCTGCCCAAGCTCTTGCTTAGCCTGAAACAAGATCATAATTAATTTACTTTCTAGATTCATATCTAAAACCAGTGTTCATATTCTATCAGTCAGTCCCACCTTACTATGCGGTATTCGATAAAGTTTGTCAACCCAATCCTGTTGCATCATGACTTCCTGAATAGCTAAATAAATGTGTTGCCTGAGTATAAGTTACAGTACTTTCTAACTGTCAGCCTGTCCATCCTGATGGCTAAAAACAAAGCAGATGAAGGATATCTCAGAATCTGGAGTTCCTGTTTTTCTTTCCTGATTAGGAATACATGCTATGCATGAAGGGCACAAAAGAGAGAACCTCCAGAACCTTGATTTTACAACCAGCGCTTAAAAAAGCTGAGCTGGGTTGCAATGGCAAAAAAATTTCTTAGCTTTGGGAAGCAAAAAGAGCAAATGTGACATCTTGATCCTCAGAAGATGTTAGGTTTGGTTCAGGGGGAGGGACTTATTTATGTCTGGATACTTTATTTATATTGTTGTGGAGAGTTGCGTTATGAATATGTTTGTTAACTGCTGGGAGTCCTAGCAAATTACAGTGGGTTAGAAGTTGAATGAATAGATGATCAAATAAATAAATGGCAACAATCCCTAATCATACTGAGGCACTAGAGAAATAGAAAATTTAGCTGAATGTATTTTGGGGTATTTAAGTCGGTGGCAGAACTGAGGACCCTAAATCCTGGCTATCAAGATTCAGCTACATTGTGTGTTTTTCTTCTTAAAAAAATAAAAGGTGCATCTTCATTTTCACAAGGCAGATTTGAGACACCGCACCTCACATACTTCCAAGCATGTTTCAGCCACCTGCTTGAGCCCTCCATCCAAGATAATTGTGTAGCTGAGATACATCTGTCACACAAAAGGATAACCTTCATCTAGCTCAAAGCCACAAAAACAACCTGACCCCGGTATGGACACACTCTGGAGCACTCACCCAGTCCTCGAAGTGCCGGCTCCCGTTCTGCAGCAAGTCCTCAAACTGGATAGTACAGTTAGCTACAAAATCGTCGTACCCGATGGGGGCATCGTGGAAAACGGCCATTTCAATCTTCCTGCCATTGCTAACATCGGTAACAAATTCGTCGTTCCAGGCAGGGCTGTTGGTTTTCTGCTTGGTGGAGGTCTGCCCGATCCTGAAATCGTCCACATTGAGGGCAATGTATGGGTCCAGTAAAAAGGTCTGTGGCCTTGGACCCACCGCATGCCTTAGCGACCAAGGGGTGGGTTTGAGATTCACCGCTTCGCAGATTTTAATTTTCAGCATGCCATTAAAAACCACCATGGTTAGATGGCTTCACTTTTCCTTGGGATTAAGCACGCTCCGGAGCCAGGAAGGTTTCTAGGAGATGTCTCAATAAATAAGAAGGCAGGTTTAAGTGAAGTGGGGGGTGGGTGGGTGTAGGGGGCTCCTTTCGGTGGCTTTGGCTAGTTTTTCCTCTTGCGACACCCAGTGAATGCATACAGGCATACATATATATATACACACACATGTGTATATACACATGCATACAAACACACACGCATATATTTAAGAGAGATTGGCCTGTGTGTGTGTGTGTTAACGGAAAAACAAAGCGGGGGGCGAAGGGAAGGGGAGAGGGATCGCGTTCCTGCTTGCAGAAATCCGAGATGCAATCGCAGCACATTCAAAAGATCCTCTGAGCGGGGGATACAGGAGTGTATCTATATCTATATGTATATGCATATATATTATTTTTCTTAAAGAAAGACTTCCCCACCACCACCACCACCGGTCGTCTTTCTCTCTTTAGAGCATAATCCTTGAGCAGTCCTCCGCTGAAAGCAATCCGGCGCTCACGCTCTGCTGCTGACTTGCCTGTGCGGCGGCGGCGGCGGCGGCGGCGGCAGGAACAACAGGGGAGGGGAGGGAGGGGAGAGGAGAGGAGGGGGAAGGGGGTCGGAAAGAAAACCAAACACCCAGGAACACCGAACCTAACGCGCAGCCCTGCCCACTTCGCAGCCTTCCGACTGAAGGGGAGGGGGGAATCACACAGTCCGAGGAACCTTACATCCGCCTCGGCTGTCGCGGGAGCTTCCTCGCCTTCTCCGCCTCCTCCTCCTCCTCTTCCAAGGCCAAGGATCCAGGGGATCGAATCCAATGCATGAGGAGAAACTGCTCCCGATCGACCTGCTCGGGAAAGGAGGGCGGTTCTTTTCTGTTGTGTTCAGAGGATCAGTTAAAAAAAAAAAAAATCTCACGCCGTCAAACGAGGTTCCAGCCCTTCCCTCCCCCCTCCCCAAGGCCGCTGGTCTGGCTTGTGCCACAGGCTAAGCTTGCCTGATGCTGGGCGAGGAAGGCTCCCCCAGCTGGCCCGCTCGCTCCCTCGCTCGCTCGCTCGGTGTGTCTATCTCCCCAATGCAGGAAATGCGCAAAAGACGTCAGTGTGTGGATCTGTGTGTGAATAGAAAGTTTTGCCTGTTGGGGGAGCAATACGCTGCAAGGGATCACCGGCGAGAACAACAAGAGCTTTCCCTGCCGCCGCTCTTCGGGATCGTGGCTTTGGACAGAGACACACACACCCTTCCCCCCCCCCACACACACACACGCTGCCCCTTCCTCCTAGCGCAAGGACTCGGGCTGGGGCGCTTCTTCCGCCGCCTCCTTCCAGCACGCCCAAAGCTCTTCGGGCGTCTATGGGGAGGAGGGGCTGGCCAGTTCGTGACACTGCTGTCCCTCTTCCGCCTCCTCCATTGCCGCCTCCCCCCCCCCCAGTCCCGCGCGGGGAGGCAATTTTAAAAGTCGCGCTGCTTATTTTGCTTCGTTTGCGCCTCATCTTTCAGCCCCGGGTCGGAGCGGCGGCTGGCGAGCGCTTCAGGCTAAGGCCGCCTCCATGACACTCCAGGTAAGACCAAGACACAACTCGGGACATCCAAAGTCTCTTTCCCGGCGCCAGCGGAGCCGTCTTCAAGCTGGAGACTCTGCGTCGGCACATCTGGAGACCACCAGGTGGGGGAAGGATGCGCTGAAGCCTCGAGGTCATTCCTTCAATGGATCGGAGCCGCGGAGGGGACAGAATGCCAAGCTGGACAGCAAATGCTTGATCTGGTGTCCCGGGATACATTTCCATTGTCAAGGGCTCGGTCCATTTGCACTGTTCCAAACAGTGGGGTACAGGTAGTCCTCAACTTACAACAGTTCGTTTAGTGACCGTTCAAAGTGAAAAAAGTGACAAGTGCAGCATCCCCATGGTCATGTGATCAAAATTCAGATGCTTGACAACTGGTTCATATTTATGACAGTTGCCATGTCTTGGGGTCACGTGATCAGCTTTTGCAGACTTCTGACAAGCAAAATCAATGGGGAAGCCAGATTCACTTAACAATTATGTTACTAAACAACTGCAATGATTCACTTAACAATTGTGGCAAGAAAGGTTGTAAAATGGGCCAAAACTCACTTAACAAATGTCTCACTTAACAAATTTTGAGCTCAGTTGTGGTTATAAGTCAAGAACTACCTGTATATAGTTATTTTAGACAGTGCACTTAATGGTCCCTGGAGGAAAAGGAAAGTCACTTTCTTGCTGGGAGATTCACCAAATGAGCCTGCGTATTCCTGGGTAGGGGCAAGACTGACAGTACTCTAATAGTCTAGAACCGAACTAAATATCTAAATCAGTGGTTCTCAACCTTTTTAATGCTGCGACCCCCAACTAGTCGTAAGTCGAAGACTATTCAACCGGTCGTAAGTCGAGGACTACTCAACTGGTGCAGCACCGTTTGCAGAATGGGACTTTTGGCGGGCTCAGCAGGGCAGAGACAGCCTGGACAATTCCTATTGGCTTTTGAAAGCCAATAGAATTAGACTCTATTCAAGAGAGTCTATTCTATTGGCTTTCAAAAGCCAATAGAATAAAAGGGAGTAGCACAGCTAAGGAAAAGGGGAAAAAATGGCAGACTGCGTTGTTTGGCAACCCCTGTGAAATGGTCGTTCGACCCCAAATGGGGTCCCGACCCACAGGTTGAGAACCACTGATCTAAATGATATTAGCAGTCTTTCCAAAGGCACAGTTTCTCTTGCGGATACCACATGAGAATAAAATGTTTTTAAATATAATTTTAAAACATTAAGCATTCTTTGCTTGACTATGTATGTACAATATATATTTATAGCAAGTAAGGATAATGGATCCTACACTGTGGGTCTTGGGTCTGGCCTCAGTGGCTGGCTTTACCTGTGTTATATGGCTCAAGTTGTATTGGGAGCTATGGTGAGATTTCTGGCCTTGTATGTAATTATTCCTGATGCAGTATATAAAAATACCTCGGAAAAAAGATAAGTTCTTTATGCCTGCATTTTTCTTCACAAGTGCTTATTGTATGAATTTTTCCCATATGTGGATCCACATTGCCTCATTTCTCATGACACAGTGCAGTTTTCATAGTCCAAGTAAACCATTGCACATAAAAATGACACTGTAAAGATACATATATATGTTGTTAAAAACTGGGCTGCAGAATGCACAAACAGTACAATGCAAAACAATAATTGTATTCCCGTTCAGCTGTTTCCACAGGAAGCTCAGGTGAAATGGATCCCTATCACTACAGTATATGAACTAAACCAGTTTTGCTGCTCATCTTTAGAGTTCCTAGAATTGGGAAACTAAGACTAGTAGTGTTTGGACGGGAGACCTCTAGAGCAGTGTTTCTCAACCCTGGCAACTGTAAAATGTGTGGACTTCAACTCCTGTGGATTTCAGCTCCCATAATTCCCCAACCAGCTCTAGAGAACAGCTCTAGAATGGCTGAACTGTAAATTGGGAAATCAAAAACATCCAAGAAGAAAATAACTTCCCTACTGTTGCCAAGAAAATTATATGAAGATTTCCATGGAATCACCAAGAGAGGTTGACATGGGTGGATGTCAACTCTCAGCATTCCTTAGCCAGCATCTTAAACTTGTTGAGTTTAAGAAATACTAATATAGTCTACAGGATGGATATAAAATCAAATAGTTATAAAATAGTTATTAAGTCTATTTGAGCATGCACATACCACATACACAATATGCCATATACACATTTTTCATACAATCTTTCCATTTTTTTCAGGAATGAAATGTCTAAATAACATTATATAATGGAAAATGGCCAGAGCCCTGTGCTATTCCTAGCCAAAACAAACACAAAAAAGGGGAAATCACTTCATGAAATAAGAACATATGCTAATTTAAGTCATGCTTTAGTTTGAGATAAGAAATTATAGCAAAAGAAATAAGCAATGGCTTGAAATACAGTACTTCAGTAAACTCAGCCTTTAAGATGCTTTTTGTTCTCATTGTGAAATGTCTGAAGGAAAACTTGCATCAGAAGTAACAATGATTTGATACATGTTTATCTTGAACTAAATGTCATTTATTTAATTGTAAATATTCACACAAACTGACTCAAGCCCTGTAAATGAAGAATATTATGTATCACTTACAATATTTTAATATGTGGGTTGGGAAAGATTAAATAATTTAGTTTACTTCCATTTATCATGTAATTGTATTTATTTATTTGTTTATTTATTTAATTTCTATGGCTGCCCAAGTCAACTGAGTGGCTATATATATATTATATATATATTATATTGTATATGCAGGTTGTCCTTGATCTATGGCCACAATTGGGACTTAACAACTTTCATTGTTAAGCAATTCAATCAGCAAGTGCCCAATTTATAGTCATTAAGCAAAGCATGTGGTTGTTAAGCAGATCTGGCTTCTCCTATTGACTTTGCTTATCAGAAGTATCCAGGGAAGGGCATAAATGGTGATCATAAGACCCCAGGATGCTGCAACTGTCATAAATACATGCTTGATTGTCAAGCACCAGAATTTTAATCACATGACCATAGGGCACGGCAATGGTTGTTAAATGCAAGGGCCACTGATAAGTCACTTTTTTCAGCACTTTCCTAACTTCAAATGGTTGTTAAATGAATGTTCATAAGTCAGGAACTAGCTGTAGTGTTCATTTCTGTTTTAAGTAATTTGCTTAACCTATACAGTGCCATACTATAGGAAATTACAGGGAATAATAATAATAATAATAGTAATAATAAGTCCTTGGGAAGGACTCAACAGGTGGATAAAAATGCCAAATCCAATTTAAACATCTGGCTGGCTGTACAAACAAAAACAACAACAACAATAATAAGCCCATCTTCCCCTGTAAACGTCTCCAGCTAAGGAAAATATGACAATATGTTGGGATTTCGATGCTCCAGACGTGACTCGCAGCTACTTGATTATTAGAAGGGGCAGAGCTTTGGCTTGGCTGTGACTGAAAGAATTTCCTCAGCTCTCTCCCCCTCGGTGCCTGGGAAGTAGAGAGGAAACCAAAGGAAAACTTAGTTCCTCATCTGGATCCAAGGCAAGGAGTTTGAACCACTCTCTCCTGGGAGAGATGTTGAAGGGAGGAGGAGAAATGCTAGCCCACAAAACAATTCAACAGGATGACCTGGAGTTTCCATTAGTCCCCCCCCCCCCGTGTTCAGCCGTGACACTGGTGAGGAAGCGTTGTTCCAGTCAGAAGATACTTAGGCAATTGTAATAAAATATTACTTTCATGTCAAATTATTTTTAATTGATTGATCAGATAAGTTCAGAGATTTTTAACTCCTTTCTCTTCCTTTCCTGTGGATGCTGGAAATCTGTTAGGCATCACAGCAGTTCACATAAAAAAAATTTAAAAAAGCAAAACAAAAGCTTTTTATGTATCTCAGTAGCGTTTACTCCATCAGTGCCAAAGTAAATGTTAAAACCAGCATTTTGTATGGAAATGACTAATTCCAGGCAAGGCCACTAGGAAGGGTCCCTTTAACGGAGACATTTTCTGTCAAACTCCTGACAAATAGAGAACCTGCATTATGAGCAGATATAGAAAATTGATTCTAAATTGTGTGTGTGAGAGAGAGATTAAAGATGGGGGGGAATGGTCCAGTGGACTGGCATCATATTATGAAAACCAACCTTTTAGTCAGTGGTTTTGTTAGTCTTTTTGATATTCCAGCATCACATTATGAAAACTTGGCCTCTCCTATGGGTTATCCAGCCTCACTCAGTATCATAAAAATAAAACAAGACCAAATCTAACATTTACAATATTCCCAGCATTGTTTCTATGAACAACCCATGAGAACCTTTGATTAAATGAATTATTTTTAAAAATGTAATGATGTAATTTTAAAAAACCATTTAATACACAGACACATTGTGTATTAAAGACACACTGAACAATAAAAAACCATCTTAGAAGTACCATATCTTCATGTTGTTTTACAATGTGGGTTAGTACTTACTGTATGATGGGTGTGTTGTTATATTTACTAACCTTCCCCAACCTGGTACTTGCATGTTTTACACAGGACGGCATAAAGTTCTGTCATTTCCAAATATCTGAGCCTCTGACTGATGGTTTCTATTTATGAGAACTGAAGACCAACTCAAGTTGATGTACTAGGCTCGGGAAATAATACTCCATGATTAGTGGATTTTTTTGTACCAGTTTATGACAATTACTATGTAACTAAAATGTGGCTGCTAAGAAAAAAAACAGTATTATCATGCTCTGGAATACTCAACAAAATCGAAACAAAATCTTTAGGCTACTACAATGTATTTCCTTTTGGGGTGGGGCACAGCAGGAGAAGGAAAAATAATGTAAAGGAATAATAGGCGTGGTTGGCTTGAACATTAAATGAAAGCACCCAAACTGTAAGATTTTGTTGCAGGTCCCACTGAGCTAAACAAAGAATATATGCCTTGTTCGTAATTACAGGTTTACAAGATTTCAAGTAAGAACATGGCATGCATATTTGATAAATGCATGTGAGTCACAGTTTAAGATTTTCCTCTCTAGGGACAATTTTATATTTCTAATGGCATAATGTTCTCTGCTGCAAGTCATATTATTGAAACATGCCAACCAGTACTTTAGATACCAATCAATCCACACTGATAATCTCTTAAATATGCTACTGATGGAAGAGAATATTTGTTGAATTGTGGGGTCCTTGGAGCTCTCTAGGCTTTGTGGTTTTCTTGCAGACATTTCATTACCAAACTAGGTAACATCCTCAGTGCTAGTAAGGAGTGGAGTTTGCTTTCATTTTATATACTATTGGTATTGATGGGAGTGGACTTTGTGTTTTCTTGATTAGGATGTTGCTTATCATTATAGTTTGTATTATTATAGTTTGTCCGAGCTGCTGGTTCCTT